TCAACCACAAGGACAGAAATCCTGTTGAGAGTCGCACCCATGGGCACACAATTCCTGCCCACAGCACCCGAGGAGCAGGTGACCCTKCTGGAACATCACCCCTGCCTTTATTTCCCCCGCAGATCTGCATCCAGCAAGGCTGGAAGGCGCCGTATGGGCGCTTCGACATCCTGCCCCTGCTCCTCCAAGCCAACGGCAACGACCCGGAGCTCTTCGAAATCCCGCCGGAGCTCGTGCTGGAAGTGCCCATCCGGCACCCCAAGTGAGTCCGGGGCAGCCCCAAAACTGCTYGAGGGGGTCAGCAGGACTGAGATCCTCTGGTTTCTCATCCCATGCTCAGCTTTTCATTAGGGGCTTCATCCAAAATCCTTTTCCAGGTCTTCCCTCCACTCAATTTTCATATACAGATAGATTTTCTTGGGAAGTTTCCCTTTCCTTGAAGCCTCCCAGGACTCAAGATCCTCTTCCAGGTCTTCCCTCCACTCCATATCCATATCCATATTGATTTTCTTGGGAAGTTTCCCTTTCCTTGAAGCCTCCCAGGGCTCACATCACTCCTTAATCACCTTGTCCCCATAAACAGCCCCTAAGGGAGGTGCTGATGGAAATGTCCTGCTCACATCCTTCACCCTGGTAGCAAAATGACCTCCCCCATCCCCCTGCCTGTGCTGRGTGGGAAATTCCTGGCTGGTTGCCCAATCCTGGCTCTGTTCTTGGCAGGTTTGAGTGGTTTAAGGACCTGGGCCTGAAGTGGTACGGGCTGCCAGCGGTGTCCAACATGCTCCTGGAGATCGGGGGCTTGGAGTTCTCCGCGTGTCCCTTCAGCGGTTGGTACATGGGCACGGAGATCGGCGTCCGGGACTACTGCGACAACTCCCGCTACAACATCCTGGAGGTGACTCCCTCTCCTGCTGCTCCTGGGGCTGTGGGGTTACTGGGACAGCTTTGCCTGGAATGGCGATTCCCCAAAATCTTCCAGTCCTGTGGGGCCAGCTGGTGTCCAGCACAGTGTGATCCCTGTTGAGCTTCCCACAGGATTCCCAAAGAATCTTAGGGATCAGCAGGACCTGGTCATGCTGTAGTCAAGAGCTAAAATATGAAAGGGTGCTGAGACACGTGGTGGCTCCTCAGGGCCGTTCTTGAGCTTGGGGACCCTCCAGCTGGTCCCTCTGGACCACCATGGACATTCCCCATTCAGCCATGGCTCAGGGGATGTCCAACCATGGCTCAGAGACAGAGCCAAGGCATGGGAGGGTGGATCTGAGTCCATCCAAACCTTCCAAGGAATGCTGCGTTATTTCGAGGGGCTCTACCCCTCCCCAGGCTCCTGATAACCAGAGGGGTGACAGCAGTGGGAGTGTCCAGCTGTCCTGGTGGCCTCAGCAGTGTTTGGCCACCTGCCCCTGGTCCAGGAGGAGGAAAGGCCGCGCTCCTGCCATGGAGAGGAAAAGGCAGGATTTCTTCCCAAAAGGAGGCAAAGCAYCAGCCCTTCCATGCCCCATGGATTCCTTGTGTCAGCCTGGGCCTCTCCTGTGGTTCCTGTCCCCAAGCAGAGATCTCCAKTCCTCAGGGTTTGGCCATTAAATCCTTCTCCTTGTTATTGCAGCAAGTGGCCAAGAAAATGAACCTGGACATGAGGAAAACGTCCTCGCTGTGGAAGGACCAAGCCCTGGTGGAGATCAACATTGCCGTGCTCTACAGCTTCCAGGTACCTCGGGGCTTTGCTCATCTGGGTCAGGCTGGGGAGACACGGGGATGGGGTGGGAGGTGTCCACCTGAGGCTGAAATTGGSTTGGGCCTCCCTAATTCGGGCTGTGCCAGTGAGATTTGATAATTCTGTGCTCTGGGGGTTGTAAAACAGCACTGCCAGC